GGACACTGAGAGCGGTTAAGTAAAAAGGGGATTTTCGTTTAAAAAATCTGGTATCCTCTGAGTGGTTGACCTTATTAGTTGAACGCTGAGTGATATGCGATGAGTACAGTAAACCGGAGGCACCTAGGAATATTCGGGATTGAGAAGAAGGACTAGACAAATGGTAAAGAAGGTTTTCCAAATGAGTACCTAACACTTTAAGGCACGGCATACTTCGCGGCAGCCCACAGCGACGAAGGGGTTTTTCTTTGGGATCCCTAATCGGAGGCTTTGACTCAAAAGTCTGACCCATAAGGCAGTGGGGCGTAAATCCAACGCCGGAGCGTGAACGAAGCACCCGTGTGGGAGCTTCTAGAGACCTGTCACGTAAGGCCTTTGAATTTCGATTAATTGTGTTGTTCGCTGGTGCATTGATTTTCGGGAGCGGCCCTCAGCCTCATGCACCCAATGAGACAAGCGGAACGTGGACGGGAGGGCCACTTATTGGCTGCTGGCTGCCCAGCTTGGGCGGGAGGTGGCTGTCCAATGAAGTGCGAAGACTTCTCCCACCGTCGAGAGGAAGCCTCGGGGCGGTAGCTGTCCAATGAAGTGCGAAGACTTCTCCCACCGTCGAGAGGAAGCCCCAGGTGGTCCATCTAGCGAGGGGTTCCCACCGTCGAGAGGAAGCCCCAGGTACCCCGCTCCTACGTCCATCTAGCGGGGGGGGGTTTTGACCTAAACTGCCCCTCACCGTGTTTATTTGCTGGAGTGGCCTCTCCAGGGGCGAGTGTGGATAAAAGAAAGAAGCCAGGGGGTGCCCAAGCAGCTGGCTTGTGAGTCTGGTCCTCGTCTGGCCTCTACCCGTTGACCTCTCAGGCATGATTAGATCTCCGGCTGTGAAAAGCCATCCAGTGTAGCACGCAGGGTCACTGAGGCGCGCAAGCCATCACACCACGTCAAGGTGCAGTCTCGTCATGATGGCTGTGAAGGTTCGGGTGTATGTCGAAGCAGTTCGGCCAGTCCTGCTACACGGAGTAGAAACTTGACCATTAGGAAAACAGGACAAAGATAGACAGTCGGTGTTTGAACACCATTGCCTACGGAGCATTGAATTGGAGCAAGTGGTCGA